CCCTGTTTAACCAACAACATTTGCTACTGCTAATTCTGTTACTCAGGTTACTGATAGTCAGTAATTCCTACCCAGACTTGCTTCGTCAAGATCTTTCAAGAAAGGAATGTTAAGATATGAGGTCATCCGATGACGTGAACAGGCACTTCTGAGTCCTGGTACACGTTCACTTTTGTCTGTTAACACATGATGCAGGAAGAACAAACCTCTTACTTCCATACCCAAGGTTATGGAATTTACCACTGTAAATTCTCGGCAAAGATAAAGTTGAAAAAGTAAGTCCAGTAAAGTGGGAAGCAAGTAAGTTTCCAACACAACAAGTGTAATGAATGATAGAAAATGTGCCTCCATCTTGGACAACTCTTTTCCTTGCATCAGAGAACTGTACAAAGACATAAATCTTTGTTTCGTAATGTCATTATTTAAAAACCTGTTTAATGACCCCTTTTTGTCACTGGGAAGTGCTGACTACTTTTGGAGGAGCGTGATTCTGACTCCCTTCCCAGCTCAGCTAGCGTTTATTACTCTGCTTTTAGTCTGTTATCCTAGACATATGCAGAAATCCTTAACACAAAACTGGCTACAGGTCTCCTGTTACTGCTTCTATTGCTGCTGAAGTGCCTGTCTGCTGCATCTTATGCAGGGTAGTCTAGGATGTAGTGGGAGAGACAATAGAAATTTCCTCTGGGTCAGATTCCTGAAAAGAGATGGTTTGGCTTGCTCTGGCACATGAATGGCCATCCGTTGGTCATCTTAACTGTTCAGGCTCTGCTGACTGCTGAGGGTTCAGGATTTGATGACAGTGTCTGGTGACTGCTGTTCTCCAGCTGCAGTATGGTAGTCAGTTGGGCTAAAGCAATTAGCCACTAAGATTCAAAGCATTTAAGATATAAATTTTTAATTTTCAGTCAAATGTGCCCTAAAGCTTATCTCTAACCTCTCATCTATTACAGGTTATAATAGCATAAACCTGCTTGGGTCTCTGAAGTACAGTTTTCCACCAGCTGCTTTATGCAGATAGGGGTTTAGTCGTCTTCCTCCACACTGAGCAGATCATGCCCATTAGCACAGGATGCCTCAGTTTTAATAGATGAAAAATAACTCTTAGAAGTTGTAGCAAAGAATCTCAACTCAATGCCCCTCAAGCATCAGATGTTAGCTGGGTAATGGTCCAACTCCTTTACATTTCAGGCCCTCTACCTCGTGGAAACCAATTAGGGATCAATAATGCACTCTTAAAGGGAGTGCTCACTTTAAATAGATCTTTACTTGTTGACTTGCAGCTTCAGCGTAATAAGCTGTTAGGATGTTTTACAGATCTGGTCTCCTGTGTCTCTGCTGCTCTACATCCCATATGCTTCTCTGTTTCTTAGCCACTCCCTTCCCAATAACAGGTAGATGCTTTTCCCTCTAGTACCACTTGGGTTACTTTTAGACAACTTAAGTGTATAAAACAGAAGAACTACTTCCAAAAGGAGATAGCAGATGTACCCTATCAGCTTTGCCAATTCTTTCATTCTTCTGATTCATTCTGCAATACCTGATTCAGCATCGGGACCACTTTAACAATCAGCTGTTACTGGATGGACAGGCAAGCAGAACCCCAACTGTGTCCAAACCAGGATGTCTTTTCTATGCTTCTTCCCAGCCTTTCCTACTTTGGATGCACCAGGTCAAGAAGGGATCATCTCCTCCTCTGGGAACGGCACACCCACTGAATTAAGGTCATACCAGGAAATTCTTGCCCCGGAGTACCCACTATATCCAGAGACTGTCTCAGATCTATTTGGTTGCCTCAAGACTTTATTTTTCACTCATTCTGATCATAAGAGCCAGGAAACGCAAGGTCAGAGCAGGGGAGCACAAGTGCAAGGCTAGGTCACAGCTGGAAACGTAGCACCTTGATGGGAATCATCATTATTTGGAATTCCTTTAGGAAACAAAAAACTGCCCTTAGCTATCCTTCGTACAATCTTTAGGATTTAAGCTAGGGAGGTAAAAGACTAAACTGTAACACTGTGAAGTGTGTTTAATAAAAACCCTCTCAGATGCTTTGACATAGCTGGAGCTACCTACAAGCTGTGCAGACCGTAGCACTGTTGCTGAATACTGTAGACAATCTGCATACTTGTTCTAGCTACCCTTTGCTAGCAATGCTCTCCCTGGACCTACATAAAGATATTAATAGCAATTAATCTCATGAAGTCTAGTGCTAATCTTAACTCATGTTAGTGGTGAACTTTGCCTTCTCACCCTATCAGTATTCCACATGAATGTACGCTTACTAGACTTTATTGTCATAGTAAACACAATTCTGGGAAAAGCTTTCCTGTGCCCTCTGCCGGTTTTCCAAGGCACCCATCCTCAGCTTGGAGTGAAAATTCTTGCTACCAGTAGGTTTCCATACCCTCTCCTCCATTTTCTTCTAACTGCAGTAAGACATACAGGACAGAATCATAGGTGCATACTATACCAACTGCCTCCTTCAGCTTCCCTGTGACTTGCCAAATGACTACCAATTTCCATTTTTGCTTACTTGCATTTCTTTCTGAACCAGACCGTTGAGGAAATTGAGGCAATCCCCATCTTTTCATAAGCAGCAGGCTGCCCTTTCACGTTGAGGGGAGCAGCAAACTCCACCTTCGGCCTGAACCTTATGGACCCAAAGTAATTTGTCACTGAATGAATTATCTCCTTGTACTTCTGCTGTCACTGCCAAGACTCCTTTAACACCCACCTCTAAGACTTTAGCAACTGTACTAGGTTATGCCCAAGACTCTTCCAGGATAACTGTCCTGTCCTTAATGTAAGCATTGGATATTCCACGAGTGTTTCCCAAAAGCTCCAGACTGAATACCACTCTGATGCTCACTGCTCACTTACAATGGTATTCAAAGAAAAACAAGTTAAGATTCCAGTTAAGAAGTCTAACCCTTCTATTTCTACATTTTTGTGGCATTTCATTTTGCTTTTTGTGTAAAGAAAATCTAACTTGTACATAAGCATAAGACCCTTTGATAATAATCTCTCACTTCAAAGAAAAAGAGATGAGCAGTTCCCCAAGGGCCAGATGCTGAGGCTTGACATGTACAAGTAGGATATGCCCTCAGAGCTAGAAATCCACACCATAATTGCAAGCTTGGCCAGGTTATGAGTGTAATAAAGGATATGATATCTCAAGATTCACATCGCTTGAGTCACATAGCTGAGACTGGATCTCGTACTTCTAACTTTGAGAGTAAAGTCCAACAACCCAGAGCAAACCCTCAAGAATAAATTCAAATGTGAGCTAGATGCAGCTATGGATACACAATGGCAGGAACTCTGCCTTTGCCAGGAAAAAGGAGGTACTCATTTATCAACCCAACTTTAGTTTAAAACTTTGGATGTGAACACAGCCTTTCTTTAAAATTCTCTCTGCTTCAGTTTTCCCTTCACTCAAATCTGTACCTTTTTTAATGTATTAGTCACTTGACTTAGTAAATACTATGTCAAATCTATAGCCTGCATTACTTTATGTCTTCTCAATAAAAGCAGAAACAGCAAAAAATTTCCAAGGCAGCAGAACGTACTAAAAAAAGAAAAGAAACAAAAAGCAAAACACCGCAGACAAATCCACAAACCAAGAATACATTGCATGCACCTCCAATGATCACTTTCCTGAGTCCCATAAATATAGCACTCTTTCAGAAGTGCTGATACGCCAGCAACACTACTTTTTCTGAACTTACTTCTTAGGGAGACTTCAGTGGATTACTTTAAGAGATGAAAATACAGTGTTAACTGACAAAGTCTCCCCCTACCATTCCCAGTGATATTATGCACACACCACTCACAGGAGAGAAAGAAAACTTGTATTAAAATCATGCCAATGAAAGCCACTACTAGGGAATCCAGAGTAATCCTGAAACACAGAAGCACAGCTTGACTGTAACCAGCTGCAGCTGCCTTTACCATGAATGGACAGGCAAACAAATAGCAATTTTCCTGTGGCATACGCTCATGGTGTCCAGCACGCTACAGCTCGGGGCTTCATGAGCTACCTACACCTTTGCATCTAAGTGCCTACCTCCTTACATGAAGGACAGAAGAACTGGTAAGCTCACGGAAGCTTTTAACATCTACATCGCCAGGACCAACACCAGCGCTGCTGCCTCAACTCTTGCACAAGCAGGTTTTCTCTACCCCTGCCTGTAACAGTTCACCTGCTTAAGTGGGAGAGCGTGCCCTCAACTCTAACCAATGCCCGACTTAGGCCACTTTCCTTCAGCAAGATCACATGGAACACCAGCAGTCAATGGGAACAACAAAGCTGTCATCAATAGTAACTTCAGAGTTTTAATCAGCCAATCTTTATAACAGATCATCAGAAATTTTGATTGACATTCATCTAAATGTTACAGTAATTTTGAGCAGCTTTTAGGTAATGAAAATTCATTAAATTCAACATAAACCAACTGCACTGTAAATTATTAATCCAGCTCTGAACTGGAGCATTAAGCAAGTACAGTCAACTTTGATGACATTATTAATCCTGGAATTATGTTTTCCATCAGTGCATTTCTTCAAACAATTACGGCTTAACCTTCCCAGAACTTTTGCTCTCAAATTTTCACCTCCATAGTGGCAGCTAGAAGTCCAAAACATCCAGCTAACTTATGTCTGGCAACATAAGTGAAAACCTTCAATACGCTCCATCTTGGGCTCTTTGATTTAGGATCTTTTCTTGGCCTCAGCCATTTTGCAGAATTGGAAACTGAAGATATTCAGACAAATGACAAATGTCAACTGCCCCACAGAAATGGATTGCACAAAGATGGGCAGCAAGACTATGCATGCACCTTTATTCATAGCCGTGATTACTTTGCCACATATTCCTTTTAAGATATTTTATTTTTTAAGTTAGGCTAACCATCATTTTGCCAGAAGAGACAAGCTCCCTGCTCTTCTTCTCAAAGACAGGAATCCACAGCAGCACACACATCCTCATTTGATAGGTACCAAGTCCATTTTAATAACACAATCCTTGTCCCAGAAACCATTAAATCCCCTTTCCCAAAACCAGTTGCATGAAGCTCTCTTGGGAACTCAGAACCTGACTTGCACCCGGAAATGCATCTGCTTTGTAGCATTGTTACTCATTCCTGTCTTGAGCATCCACTTTGACTTCATCCTCTGCAGGTACTGCATATCACGCTGATGAGCAGAGACGGCCCCTTCAGGGAAAGAGAAGAGTAAGTGTCTGTAAGCTTATTTACTACTTCTAAGCAAACCAGCTAATCTGTCCATTTACATGAGCAGTTAGCTATGTCTTCTCCTTCCCATACTGGTATACTTCTTTTCACTTTTCTCTTGAGAAAAGCCAGTTCATTCTATGAATACCTATGACTGTGATGAAGGGAGAAGTTTGTTTTGCGTTCCAATGTGCGATTCTTTTATTTCAAAAGTGGATACAGATCACATCACTGCTCCCCAACTGGAAAAGTATTCTAACTGTCAAAGAATGATTTATGTTATGTTACTAAATAGCAAGAGTAGTGGTTTTGACAGGCAGAAACCAACAAATCTTAGGAAGTCACCAAATATCAAACATGTATGCTAATGACCTGAAGGGCTCGTACAGAAGCTGCAATGGATTTTAGACACAAACAACTTCCCATAACTTACTCTGCTTGGATGTCAGGAATGAAAGGGAATTGAGTGGAAGACAAACTACTACATAAAACCCCACAAATGTGAAAAAAAATTGACCTATTGAATTGTAGAGTGATGACATCCTAGAACCTCCTCCTCTGCAAAAACCTCACATTGTCACTTACCTGTCTGACCTGTCCAGCCCAAAGCTCTGTACTGCTGCAACACCCGACCCACTGCTTTCTTATTTCGTGCAACAGCCACCGTTCTTGACAGACCAAACCGCTGCTTGTAGTACCTCATTAAAGAACGATGACCCACTCTTGCACCTGTTCAGAGGAGGGGACATCTTATTATGCATAATGGAGCAGCTTCTGAAATGCAGTATTCTAGCAAATTGTGAAAACTATGGAAAATCCCTATGCTGAGAAATGCTTTTAAAAGGCCCAGAACCTTAAAAACTTCAGGACTATTAGGAACTCAATGTGATTACTGTAAGAGCTGCTGCACCGCACTCTACCTTGAAGAAAAAAAAACCCAAAGAGAGCTGCTGTTCAAGAGGTCCTTAGCTCAGATAACAAACAGGCAGTTAGCAGAAAAGAAAAATTTCATTAGGGGAATGAGCAAAGAGGCAATGCTGTTTCAAGTAACCAGGAAAGTAACTTGCTGACATTCAGGAAATCTTCTGTAACTGCATAGTTGGCAGCACTTTCCAGAATGAAAGGGCTGAGGTCCCCTCATACAAAAAAACACCAAAACAAAAGCATATGCAAGCAAGAATGCTGAATGCTACCCAACGCAAGAGTAAGGTTGTTTAGATTCATTTTACTGAACTAGTTTACTAAATTAGTTACCAGCTGCCTCTCTGCAAAAAAACTACACTAGATAACCTAAGTTATAGCGTCTCCAAGTGGTACTAAAACAAGATCTGGAAACTCCTGGAGTATACCACGAGAGTCACATGTTAATGAAGAGGTAAAGCAGGCAAAGGAACCCTCTGCCCGAGTCCACATGTACATTAATGCTGAAGAAGCTGAACTACTTGATAGTGAAAATAACAGAAGGTGAGGAGAAAACCCCAAAGACACTTAGATGCAAAATTACTTTCTTCCCTGCCAAAGGAAAACACTTACAACGATGACCTGTGCTACAGGCAATGGCTGCAGCTATGAGAAATGCAGAGAAAGTACGCTGTAACACAAATCCTATGCCTACCTGAAGGAAGGATCAGCTCCATGGTGTCATCATCATAATCCAACTCTCTCTCTGCTGGGCGCTCTCCAGGCACCTCCACATCTTCCCCATCCTTGTGATCTGGGTAACTGCTCCTGTGGAAGAGCAGCAGTACATGGTTTATACACAGTGAGCAGCCACAGCTATCCAGACCCATCACACATGAGAACTGCCATGCACAGCTACAGCAAGCCACACACACTGTCAGGGATCACCTACCTTGGTTTGAGAGTTCTTCCCAGTAGCACGCTGCCCTGAACAGCGGCTGAAGACAAGGACCACCCTTCCTCCACCCGGTTCTATAACTCAGCACAATTCTGCTGCAGCACACTTAACAGTGACTCATAGTGAAAAGTCACCACTGTGCAGCCCACCGGCTCTGCAGCACTACTGAAAGAGCACTCCAAGAAGCTCCACTAAATCCACCTGTCACCACAGCAGGAGGTACTTCTGACCAAAATGAACACGGCTTAGCATAAGTTACAGGAAGTTCAACAAGAGCGCCTCTAAATCACAGCAGTCCTACTTAACTCCAGCTACTTTAAAAGAAAAAATTCACAGTAGGTATTAACCCCCAATCTGCCTAAAAGGTAATGGAAGAGACAGTTATGCCCTTATATGGCCTTTGTTGGTGCACTGAAATCTAAACTCAGGAACAGCAAACATACAAACCAGAATTCAAAATATATTTTCATGTAGGAGTGGTATTAGTGGTCACAGGAGAGGAGAACCAATCATGTTGTTACACTTAACTAGAAAAGTTGTGAACCACCTATGCAAAATAAGCATCAGAACCAGAAAGAGTACTAAATTTTAAGAATGAATAATAGTTTCTGATGTAATAGTCCACTGTCCTTTTGTCTGTCCCCATCTGTGCTCAACTCAAAGAAAAGGTCCTCACCTAAAATCATAGAAGTCTGCAAATTCCAGGGCAGCATCTCCATCTGTGAAGAGTTTGCAGTGGCTTTTATCATTCATGTGAGCTTGTACTGCTTCTGTAGAGTAGAAGGATTTTCCTTTTTCATTGCACCAGATGCAGATTTTCCCAACGCCAACCTTCTCTCCTGCAGAAAACATTGACACTTCTATTGGTCTGAATAGAGCCTCCCTAGTCACTAGCTAACATTTCTATAGTGTAGCCTTCCCAGCTTGCAGGCAGAGAGACCAAGGAAGAGCCTTGAGCCCTTCCTCTCCAGAAAAGCCCTGCTGTTCCTATGCCTTGACCATATGGCTCCATCAGGGACAAGTCTGTGCATTTAAACATTTCTTATGCCAAGGTATGGATCATTATGTGTTCTCAGTAACAAATTTCATACTTCCAATACAGTTTTCTATCTGATACTCCAAAATTATTTTATTCTCGTAATTATTTGTAGACTTCAAGGAAGATACATTTTTCCTAGTTTTTCGCTCTCACAAGTAGTGTAAACCGATGAGGTGAATACTTGCGACTAATTAGTAGGGTAACACAGTTCATATGCACACTTTAGCAATAGAGTTTTGTCCCAAGTTTCACGTTAGCTGAAGAACTTTCTTAACATTGGAAAACTACATGAGACCTACAGGGCACATGACCACATGTTTGCTCTCACTCTCCCTGGAAAGCCTGTGGTCCTGTTCATGATCAAAATACTGAACTAGACAGCACTCAGATTTTACACAAAAAACCCCCCAAAACATTTAAAGTCATATCCACATGAAAATAAGCAATAACAGCATTTAATTATCCTGATCAAAAATCAGAGAACATTTACAGGCATACCCAGGTACTTGATTAGTCCTCTGAGATCCACAAGGTACTCTATGTCTGGAATAAAGAAACTGTGAGCTTTTGTCATATGGGCCACATTTTTCGTGAGAGATCTTGAATGGTGGGGACAGAACAAGCAGTCTGTGACCGGTATGGCCCCAATGGCAGGAGTGCTTTCAGCTTCCGCCTGCTCCTCCTCTTCTTCTCCCACACCTTCCATCTCTTCTTCAGAGCTGACGTCTTCATCAGAATCCATGTCTTCCCAGTCTTTTTAAAGGAAGTTTAAAAAAATATTTATGTTATTACTTCTCCTAAGTAAAACAAGTCCCAATTAAGTTAGAAAAAGTTATCATAGAAAACACTGCATTTCCTATTCTTACAGCTAAGTGCCACACAGTCACTGCCAGGTGCAAGAATATACCATTGCCAGTAAAACATATTTCTTTGTAAGATGCAGAACAAAGCTCAGGTCTGCTCATAAAAAAGTTGGCAGATCCAATATTTTTTCCTCTCTGTTTTTCTCAACTATTAACACTTCACTGCTGTTTTGAAGCCTTAAATTTAATTCACCACAGCACAAGGACACAAGCATGGCTTATTAAATACAATACAACTCTGCCAGAATCATGAAAACATTAATTTCCAGCAGTGACTCAACAGTGAGGGAAAACATACTCCTGTTCACACATGTCTTTAACAGAGAAGAACAAAGACAGCTGTCACAGATATACTAGTCACATTATATGTTAGTATATACCAAGATATACTAACAATTTTACACATTTGCAAGATTACTGCAGAGCTCATTAATGGATAGACGAACCAGCAATCTGATTATACTGCTAGAGGGGTCTAGAAATCTTTTTTAAGGAGTTCAGATCTGGGGCAGTGAGTATTTCCCAGTACTCCAGTCCTACTGGTCCCCTTCCAACTGCCATACGCACAGAGTGTTTGAGAACAGGGAACACACTACTCCCCAGAGTTGTAGGCTGCTGATTAGAAATCTTTGCTACAGAATACAGTTCAGTAATTTCAAAAGCCTGACCCTGAATTAACAGGACTTGTAGGAAACATTCCTGGACAAGCACTTCAAAGGAAAATTAACATTCAGAAACCTGAGACTTTAGCATTACAATTTATGACTAACACATTAATACAAAACAGGTGTAAGTTGTCTCCTTCTTTACACGTTAAGATGCATGTTCAAAGGTATACGTTTCTTGTCCTGTAGAACAGATTCCCTGAATTGTGACTGAAATTTCATCAGCATCAAACTGCTATAACAGATGTAATAACATGACACAATGGTTTCAGTAATGAAGCTGGCATAGTATAGTCCCACTTCGTTCACACCTGTCCCCTTGCTGCAGTTCAATCACCCCATGCAACTGCTCCAATAGATGCATTTGGAGCTGCACTGTAAACTACAGCACTGAAAGCGTCCAGGTCAAAAATAACCCTTTTCTGGGAATTCTGAAGCTCTGATCTTTTCAGCTGTCCACTTTCCAAGCCGACCTCCAACAAAGAGCTGTATCCACACAAGCAGTGAAGGTGAAGAAGCAGGACCAGCCAGTCGGGGTGGCAACTCTTAAACCAATTTTAATATAGATGCCAATATGCTGAGAAGCTATGCCACACAGTGTCAGGCTAAGGAGCAAATTTTCTCCTCTGGTCTTGATGGGCAGAGAAAAACAAAACCATCCCCACTCCCACCTCCCTTCAACAGATCAGTAAAGTGATTGATAGGACAATGATCATGATTGGACTTTTGTTTATCTGTTTTTCAGAAGTAGTTTTAGAGTAACCTTTTATGTTAGCCTTCCTTAAAGAAAACTTCCCCTAGAATTTTACGTGAGAAATAGCACTCATATTAATAACGGTTTATAGTCAACCTTCACACGCATTAGTATCTTGCACAGCTGGGAGCTGATACAAACACAGAGCCCCCTGACTGCAAGCATGGGCCAACCTTAACTCCTTTGTTAAGCAGGAAGACCTTTTGTGATGGAAAACGCCATACTAGTACAGAAATAGGAGGCTTTTACACAAAACCAACAACTACATAGCTTACCGCAAGCTATCTCTCCTCAGTATGTTTAGTGCCTTACCTTCCTCCGTATCCTCTTCTTCCTCTGCTTGCTGTTTGGCCAGTTTCTTTGCTTGCTGTTCAAACCACTGTAGCCGTGGAGGTTTGTCCGATCGTTCTCTACTCTGCGATAAGCTGGCGCTTCCTGTAGGAACTGGAGAGCTACTTGCATTGCTAGGAGGTAAAGGTATCTTCTTCGGAGACGAAGACGGCTGAGCTCTGATGGCTTGCTGAATAGCTGTGTTCATTTCATCTTTGTTTACACTCTCCGGGGCCAGACCCTTTTCCAGGTTCTTTTCATTTAATATTTTCACCTTCTTGCTAACAGCTTGAACAGCTTTCTTCTCCAACTCTAGGTGCTTCTTGGACTTCAAGTGATTCTCGTAGGCATTGAAGGTGGAGAACCTCTTGCTGCAAACTGTGCAGTAAGTGGCACTGATTTTGTTCTGCTCCTCTGCCACTGCTCTCTGCGCTAGGACTCTCTCTTGGAAATTCTCAGCAGTGACAGGAGGCATGTCAGCAACTTTACGCTTCAGGTTGTATCTATGCCAGTCAGTTTTGTAATGGGCACGCTGAATGTCAGCATCCTTAAAAGCCACACGGCAAGTGATACAGGTGTAGGTTGCCATTACTAGAAAGTGGGAAAAAACCGATAATCATGCTAAGAAAGATAAGTCACAAAAAACCCCAAACACAACATCCTGACAGCACCTATGTAAGGTAGCGTAAGACATAGAGTTCTTGTACAGAATTAAATTTATTAAACACTAGCATTAGCAAACAGCATGTCATGTACTAGAAGGAGCAAAAGAAGGAAAAATAAAAGACTCTGATCTAGTTATCAGAGATTACTTGTACCACAGCAGCATCTGAGCATCCCAGCTCTGGAGGCAGCACCCACTGTGCTTGTCACGGCTTGGATGCAGAACGAGAGGGTTCCCAGCCCCAGCAGCAGTGCTTTGAAAGCTCTGCACTTTTTACTGAAGATCAGAAACTAAAGGTTCTTATCAAGTTCATATTCTGCCAACTATAGCTTTTGAGGAGACTAGTGATCACTTGAAAATAAGGGTAAAAACTGAAAACCTGCTTTCACACCTATTTTCTATTTTCTACAGCCTTATTAAATGGAAAAAAAGTTACTGCATTTAAAAATAAAACCCTCTCAGCTGTTTTGGAGCCGTGCATCTACTGTCAACAACACTTTACCCGGCAGAACTGTTAATCTGGAGATGCAGTCAGTCATGCCGAGATCTAGCGCTTGAAGCTGCTGATACCCCTGGTCTTCCTCTACTTCCCACCATCCAGCTGAGCTGCATTACTGGGGTTGTCACAGGACAACTGGTGGGCAGTGACCTGTAAGCGATACTGTCCCTTCCAAAGCCAGGCATTTCCTTCCTTTTCAGTGCTTAATGAAACTTAACTTTTTAAAAACAAAGGTGATGGAATCTCTTGAACACTCCAAAAGCAAAGAGCAAAAAAGCATGTTCTAACTGGACATCACTAAAGCCACCCTCATCTTTTAACCAATTTAGAAAAACTATGGTTTAATCTGGGAAAAAAAGAAATAATACATCAGGAGAAGGGGGGTCTGCAAGCAGGCAGAGGAACAGCAGCCCGCCCAGAAGCTACCAACAGGGAGAAGCAGTGGTGAAAGACACAAATATGCAGAGAATTGAAAGGTATTTTACAAAATGCTCGTTCCCTGGAAGAACTGGACTCCTGATTTACTGCTAGCACTATCTGTAATCCTACAGTGACATAACACACATTAACAGAAAATAAAGGCCATACTGTTTTAATTGAAATACTGTAAGCATCCATTCAGCGTAACAGATGCTTTCTGTTTCAGAGGAAACCGTATTCTTTGCCTATCAAGGAATCCTGATTGCTCTCTGAAGCATTTCCCTCCCACCTGCAGAGCTCCCTATCCCTTTCCTAGCCCAAGCAGGTATTTTACTGCCATAAACCAACTGGCAGAGCATCACATTTGCTGTTCATCACAAACTCCTTGCAGAAAACCCAGGGACAGAACAGTTTGATCCCGTCTATTACAGCAGACACTAGCTATATACTAGATTACCCTGGGGGTGATTAAAAGGACCCCCAAAACCAGATCAAAAGAGGTATGTAACTGAGAGGCTCTAAAACCATAAACCTTCGTATCTGACTACTAAGTGGACAAATAACGTTTACAACCCAAGCTGCATAAAGCAGAAAAACCACCTGCAGAATCCCGTGTGCTCACACCAGCACTTCCCACTACCCACGAGCGTTCTCACCTACCATTTTAACCTACAAAACCAAAGTCCAGAATCTTCCCCCGTGTGGGGCTCAGGAAAACAAAACTGAGGCACTCGCAGGCCTTCATCCCAAGGCACTGCCAAATCCTTCGAAATAGATCTGGTTCTCTCCACGAGGTCTTTATTACGGCTGATTTTAGCTACTTTTATTTTAATCTAAATTGAGCCGGTCTGCATAAGACTGACACAAGACAGAAAGGCCCGGCTGGCAGGCAGGTATTTATTACACGGACAGCAGAACTGACAG